AAAAGCCGCTGTTGAGCAATCAGACAGCTACAGCGGCCGCCCGATCGCTTCATGTTGCAACGCACACAATTGTGCCAACAAACAACTTTGGCAATTGCGGGCATCCACGGTAACATCAATTGGCACTGCCTTCTCTGTACAGCGCTTCCTATACCACTCATTTCGAGGAGTTGAAAGCCATAACCGGTGCCACTGTTGCCAGGATGATATGGAACGCCCCTGCCTCGCTGGGCAGCTAAAGAGGATGCTCCCACCTCATCAGCGGCTGCCTGGCCAGTTGCCCTTTTTCAAGCGCAAGTGCCTGGTGCACTGTTTGCAAACTCTTTGCCGGAGTCACATAATAATTTAAGGCTATGCCAGCTTTGAGATGGCAACTCTTTACCTGATCAACAGCATTAATCAGCCTTATACCTTAGCCATGTACTGCAAGCACATAGGGTTGGCATACCACCGCTCTGCAAAACAGGGCCTCTCTCTAATAAATTAAATGACTCAACTTCCCCCTGCGATTGCAGCGACAGACTTTAACGCAAGCCACTGCATAGTGTCATGCCTCTCGGAGTGTCACGCCAATCCACCCTGGTCATGTGTAGGCCGCAGACTGTAAACAGTCTTGCACAAAACATTTGCTATCATTTGCTAGCCTCCAGAGGCTTGCTGGCGGGGTAGGGCCTCAGCTCAAGGCTCTGCGACTGTGGGGCTGTGAAGCTCTTCAATCTGCATGGAAAATGCAGCTAATTTCACCAATGCAGATCTGTGGCAGATGGTGCTTCAAAGCTGCCTGCTGCTGCATCCGCTTCATTTGATTCCTCTGCAGTAAGCAGCTGAAGCTTTGGACAAAATCTCCGGGTAGACATTTGTGCGAACTTGTTGGAGCAATTCCAATCAGGCCTGCGACAGTGAACGGAAGTGGTAGTAATGCAGCTGCATCGCGAAAGAGTGACGTAAAGCTTGCTAGTACTAGTAGCAGACAAGAAAACTGAACGGCCAAATGCAACGCCAATCGATGCTGCAGGCGAAGCTGTGTTCTTTTGAAGCAGCGCTGAAGCGGTCGAATTGAAGAAAGAGGACCACTGACGAGACCGCTAAACTGTGACAGAGCCATGACGAGGCGCTTCCCGAATGCGTAACAGAAGGTTCCAGTGTAAAGATTACTCGGTAAGGAAGGAGAGATGGGGATCAGCTTTTGCTGACATTCTTGGACCCTGTCATCTTCTTCCCGTGTCAGAAGCGACAAACAAAGGGATCGAGCGGGTCAGGGTCATGATCCTTGTATCAGCTGTCACTGCAAGCATAGATACATAACGAAGCATAGATAGATAGATAGATAGATAGATAGAGAGACTAAGAGTCAACAATGTTCAGGTAAGTCACTGCACGCCGGCAAACACGTGTATATATATATATAATAGCAGCCATAGCATCCATATGGCTTAGCGCTGGTTCATCTTCACTTTATGTAGCCAAAGCAGTCCTCTTCTTCACCTCAGTCTGGGAACTCATGATAGCAAGAACAGCAAAATTGCTCGTGCTATGTCAATATCTGTCCTACAAACGAAGGCCATCCATGAGTCGACCGCAGACTCCACTGAAAGCTGCGTCGTCAGACGCATCAGTCCCAAGGACTAGTTTTCGTAAGACATGTGGATGGGCACGTTCAAGCTCCAATAGCATGCGAGGCTTCGTTTCTGCATTGAACTTCAAGGCGAAGTGCTGTCACAAAGTCCATCCGGATCAGCCCTGACCACAAGTGAGCAGAGTCACATGTGCTTCAGCTCAAAGAGCTAACATCCCCGAGACAGCTGAGGCACGCTAGAGCATGATTCCTTCCCCATTTGCGCAAGCAACTACTAAGTACCATGATTCAATGCCAGATAGGGATGAACACGCAATGCAAACTCTGAAGACGATGATGTCTGTATGAAACGGAATTCAATCCTCAATGCAAGAACGTACAGGCTGCTTGGGGCCTGAAGACCTCCAACCAGACCACAGACTTGGAGTCAACGGAGGTCCGCTGGATGGCCACTCCGACCTACTGCTTTTCTGGTGACTAACTTGGAACATGCAATGTTGCGGGAGTCTAACAACATGCACGGCACATTATCATCAACTAAAATCGCACCCAAAATCACTAAACTTTTGGTGAGGTTTCAACTGAACTGCAGGCCATCACAAAACATCACAAGAGCTACACCCAGCTTTTCCGTATAATTTTGCATGACTAACGCACTGGGGTTCCTATTAGGGAATATATTCGGAACTATACTAGACTACAAAAGGATGCCTGTGTCCGCACTTGAATGGTCTCTTGGTAACCCTGATATTGGAAATGTCTCGTTGAAAGGTGGTACTGATACTGCCAGATGTGAGTGGTCGTTACTGCTGCAATTTTCTTGAAGCTGCAGCTGCTGCAACCTTTTTGCAGTGAACTATTGCGCAGACATGTTCCAAGTCGGTTAACAGTGCCCACGACACCACAATCCGTCATTCTCGCATTGCTCCAGCACGAAAGGAGATGCTGAAGTCTGCATAACATCTGAACACGAACCCATCATGCAGAATGGGATTCGTTTGCTTCATCTACTGCTTCCATGCCTCTGGCCAGTAAAGCTCTCGCACAGCAGCCTCAAGACTTCGCTTGTGTACTTCAACAGCCGGTAATGGACTGTCCTGGCACTGTCTGCATGTCACTCGCTAAGTCATGATTGCATCAAAATACTTAGCTGGCTCAGCTAGGTGTTAGGCTAGCCCTTCTCGGCGCTGGGCCTTCTTAATGCTGACAGGCTGCACCTGCCTGCTGCTCGCTGCTGAGGCCTCATTTGCCAAACACAGCGAAGAATTCAAAGACCGTAGCTCGGGAGTGAATGATTGATCCATCTGGGCAAATCGCCAAGGTTGGGCACCATCTCCTGAAGAAGCCACCCTCGATTCGAGCGCGAGAGCACCATGAGCATAGAGCCCTGGCAGAATATGATCGGGACGCGATGCATGGGATTTCTGACATTGCAATTCTGTCAGGCAACTCCAAATGTGTGCACAGGGCTCGTTTTGACTTTTCTAAATTTGGCACTCTGTCGGCACGAGCTAGAACGGGAACGAGAACTACACTAACCCTAATCGGCCCTTATCCCAATGCACACGCCGCAAAAAGTTCAGAAATCCCTTTGCTGTGTTGGAGCACCAGTCCTTCTCATGTGAATCTGTGCTGTGACCTCTGACCTTGACTTTCAAAGCAAAATGTCGGGCCACCTGAGCATAGCTGCCTTTACCGGGCTGGCTCCGCGTGCACTGGTGCTGCTTTTGGCTGAAGGCGACTGAGAGGCAGAGCCAGCCTGCGCCAAGATGCAGCCGAAGCCAGAGTGCGAAAAACAAAAAACCTCCAGCCTACTGAACGTCCCTGTGAGAACAACGCTGCTGACCTCCCTCACCCGCAGTACGCCCCACAGATGCCAGCACCAGATGCTCGGTTGCCAGAGGAAGCTGGTCCAACGGCACCTCGTCAACCAAGCTGCTTTTGCTTTGTCAAAGGTTCTCGAAGTATCCAGCAAACAACATTAGCACCAGGCACCCAGCCTCCAAAAGCGAGCCAACGCGGGCCTTCTGCAGAGGAGGGAAAGCAAAAACTACGGCCTCTACAGCAGATTGCCAGGCCTGGCTCGTGGCAAACAGAACATTGCCAGAATGTGATTGGGAGGTCCACGCACATTCGTTCGGCAGGAGGAGTTCAAGATCGGCACCTGCACAGCCAGTGACACAGTCGTTGCTATCCCTTCCTTTCTTCAGGACTCGAAAATTAAAAGCTTGTTCAGGTCTTTTTCCGGAGTTGAGGTATTTTCAGAAGCAATCTAACACGCCCTCCTATTCTGACTTGGGCCCGCATCTCTCACTTCAGCTCACATCTCGAAGCTGCAAAGGCCAAATTGATCGTGCCCATGAGGCTCCCCGCCGAAAAGACCGCACCGGAGCTCCAGCGACAGGAAGCCCTGAGGGCGATTTAATCTACCGCACTCGCTTTCTGCCTGCATGACCTGTCTTGCTCTGTTGGCCGGCTTATGGCCACGCGCAGGTACATGTCCGTCAGAGCTCGCTGTCACTCCTTACCATGGATGCAGTTGTCTGCCCTACCACCTGCACCTTTGGCTTTTGCTACCAAGGCAAGTGCTTCCACCTTGGACTAAGCACGAACATTTTCCAAGTGACAAGGCCCGGAAACTCCCGAATGGCAGCCTCTGCACGAAGGTGGCAGCGCAGCTGGGTCGCTGGCGCCAAGGTGGCAAGGACTTCGGAGCCATTAGACATGGAGGGAGTTGCAACATGAAATGAGTCGTGAGGCTGCCAAAGTGCATCTAGGCTTGTGAACCTGCAACATTTGTTAAGCACTTCGAATGATGTTATGGGCCTGCACTTGCTGGGGAAACCACCTACCGTTGCGAACCAGTTGAAAGCATCTGCCAATATGTTGGCAAATCCGGCTGTAGGAGGCAACGAAAATGTGGAAACTCCAATGCAGGTCTGAGTGTGCATTCGGCGCAGCAATTAGAGCTCCAAGCGTTTATGGGGAAAGCAGCCATCTGTCAACATGTTTTGCGCGAGGCTGGGATTCCAACTATGCAAAAATCAAGAGATTCACCAGATATCAAGTTGAGCCATCCACGGAGCTGCGCGATGTACTGACCTTCAAACTTTGGCCCTGTGCGTGCTGCATCCTTCCCACTCTGTTTTTCAAATTGAGGTTGCTCGACAAGCCTCCTTGAGTATGGCTCTCAACTGGGACATGCCAGACGCCCCAGCCACCAGCGATCCAGGCATTTAAATTCCACAGGACCCAGCATCTGTGAATACGGACACAAGCTCATTTTGCAACTTTGAGGTGAGATTCTGCGGCTTCTGCCCAACAGTGGGGCATCCTGAACTCAGCCTAGAGCAGGTCTGCATGCCGTGGCTAGATTGAGTTCATAAGTGCTGTGCTGCTGTTGATCTACATTCAAACCTGCGTCTCATTTTGGAATCGAGCGCTCATCTGGTGCCTGCGCTACACACCAGAACAAGCTGCCAGGGCAAGCTCCACACTAGCCAACTACTTGAGCTCATAGCAGGCATCATGGAAGCAAACAGAACTGATCAAGCCTCACCCTGCAAAGGCGCATTGCCCTGTGCTGATGGATCCATTGACGGATAGTATGGCCTGTACCTCGGTAGGCGACCCACAAGATAAATCGTGATCAGGAGGCACGGTTCTGCAGAAGAAAGCCTGTCAGCAGTGAAAAGTGTACCATGACAAGATGTTTACATGATGCGAAACGGCTTCTTGCACAATCTGTAGTACCAGCACTGTCCACGCGTCTTGCGTGGCCATGCAAGACCATTCTTCCGGTTTCTTCAAGTTGCTGAAAAATCTTTTTTTCAGAAAGAGCTGTGCACATGCATGGCCCCAGAAAGGCTGAGGCGTATTACCAGCAGGCGGCGCTGACCTTGGGCAGTCACTGCATCAGAGGAAGACATGCTTCGCGTCAGTAGGTTCTCAACTCACGTGCCTGAACATCTTGAGGATTTTTCAATCGTAACCCAAAATATATCCCATTGCATCTTGATTAATCTCATTTTGTCGTTCTTTCTCGCATGTTGTCCTCATTTCTAGAGTTCGGTTTGTTGAGCTGTTGCGGTGTCGATATGTTTGGGATCAAGTAGTCTACGGAATTGGATTTTTCAGGATTAGCGTGTGTAGGTGTGAAGGTTTAGGGTTCTGGCGAGGTGCACGCCTACAGTTTGGGGTTGCTTCAGCTTTGAGGCTCCTGGTCCGGCCAAACGATGAGAGTTCAGGGTTTGACTCCTTCAGGTTTTTAAGGTTGCAGAAGCCGTGAACGCTTACACTACAACCCCAAACGTCATGAAAACCCAAACGCAGAAGCCCAGTAGCAACCACAACGGACAAAGGCCTGGGCTTCGAACCCCAGCCATAGCCCCTAGAGCCTGAACCATAAACAATAAAAGGGGCGCGTATTCCACTACAAACAACCCTTCTTCCCAGACCTTTGCAGTTGTAAAGCAGGTGTTCTGAATGCAAAGCGGCCCAACTACGCACCCTCAGTCCATCCACGGCAAAGCATTCCCTGCGGAACATAGGTCTGCATCATGCTCCTCCTTGCTTGGCTCATAAAGCATCCGAATTATCAACCAATGTCAGGCGTTCCAAGAGATTTTGGGTGCCGCCATCTGGCATCAGCCTTACAATCATGCAGCTCTCAAGCAAGTCTCACCCCTGAACTCTTAACAAAAACCCAACCGCAAAACCGGGAATCGTGCCCCAAGTTCTAAAAAATGGGAATCAATTTATATCTGAAGCTTAACTCAAAGGTCGGAGCGCTAATGCCACTCACACCTCATTCCAGCCCTGCCCTGCACCTCAAGCAGCCCATCCCCCACCTTTCCAGGCCCCATCTCTGGAGAAAATGTGCCAACCGTCACCCTTCCCAGCCACCCCCTGAACCACCTCCGCCAAGACTCTTGCCAGGTACTATTCAGCCTGACAAGCGCCTGGAGCTAGCAGACTATGTCTGAATCCTTCTGAAGTATCCCATTGTAACTCCAAAAATTATCAAATGGCTTGCCATTTTTGGAAGATACGACTCCAACCCGTAATTTAATAAACATGTCACAGCAGCAGACAAACTCAACAAATATTCACAAGGAAACTCCAAGAATCCCTGACACGTTTAACAAAAACCCAATGCCCAAACACCGTAATATAAAAAAACACACACACACACAACACACACACATCAAAAAACAACAAGAAAGTTTGAAAGGAGGCTGCGACCCGTATGGAAATGGCGGTGTGGTAGGGTGCCCTCATTCCTACATTCAGCGTAACGTTTTTCTTCCTTTCTTTGTGGTACGACTCATGAATTCCTGTTGTTGGCTTCTGGCCCGAACCTTCCCCACTGTGGTTTGCTATTGCCACTGGCCACACTTCTCCTTGTTTCAGCGTCGCATTCCTCTTGCTGCTTTGCTAGTGGCCACAAACCTTTAACCCCCGATTGAGCAGCACGTTTTTCCCCGCTTCCAAATCAAATGTCTACGCTGATTTTTTGGGGTTCAAGGCTCGGGATTTCAAGGTTGCATTCCGGGTTAGAAGAACATACCGCTGCATGTGCAACGCAGTACCCAAAATGCGCACAGCGCTTCTTTGATGCGGTGGGACGCCTTGATCGGCAGGGGGTCCTGAACAGTGCAAGTCAAGGTCCGCCTGGGTTGGGCGGGTGGGACAAAAAGGCGATTTGAGCGATCAACCTGCGGTGCGCGCCCGATCGCTCCATGTTACAACGCAGCCAAATGCGCTATCAAACATACCGCTGTACGTGCAATGCACTACCCAAAATGTGCACGGCACTTTTTTGATGCGGTGGGAAATCGGTCCCCAAACGCCCCCCGGGCCTGGCCGGCGCATCTGCCCCCGCAGCGCCCCGTCCCCGCATCCGGCATCGGAAAATCAAAACTGTTCCAGGTCAGAGACGGCTTGGTGGATGGCGTACTCCAAATCGGCGGTTGCCCATACCAAGACCTCCAAAATGGCTTCCATAGAGTGGACGCCGCAGCCGCCCGGGGCGATCATGGCTGCGAATCTCTGTTAACTAAGGGTAGCTTACGCAAAGCTCGCCCGGTGACAATCAAAACAGGGCCGCCTGTCCTTCCAGATGCAGGCGCCGAGGCAAGGTCAGTCGGCAGCCTCTTTTTGACCAAGCGCCGCCCGGTCACGCCCCTTCTGGGCCAGGGGAGCTCTTGGTCTCTTCTACGGAGGGTCAGCCGCCTGATTTGGGCGATCCCGAAAAACAGACTGAACATGACTGAGCACAAAACAAGGCCCGGGCCAAGGTCCCGCTGTCTAGGGCATGGTACTGCCACCCACACGGCGTCTGCCAGCGGCCCAGGTGGCCAAAGGGTTCGGCTTGTGGAGCACCCGCCCGTTCTGTGTAACACCCGGCCAGCGCTGCTGAAGACTCCCCGCCCATCCTGAACAAAGCAAATTCTGCACCGGGGCTGGCCAGTTCCCGGCGGCCAGAGTGGTCGCCTGGTTTTTGGGCCGAGCCTTGCCTCTTCAAGGCGCTGGCGGCGTATGGGCAAATCCGCCTTGTTCGGCCAAGCCCAACGCGCCGACAGGTGACCGCCCGCTCAACGAGCTCGGTGAAGGAGTTGAGGGGCACGCCATGGCCGTGCGTGTTGAGCCAAACGCCAACGCTGCCAGGCAGCGCGTTGAGCCAAATGGTCAGTTACAAAGGTGGTTCTGTCACCCCAATGTTGGCAGTGTTCCAAAGATCTCCACTGCTTGGGGCCCGCCGCGCCAGAACCACCGCCCCACCAATTTCGGGAGACAACAAGCCCAGAAACACAAGGAAGCAACGCCTGGCAAGGGCGGTATCCAAGACCTCCCTCCGCCCATTAAATAAAGGGCAAGCGATTGTGCACATGCACGCCAGGATACGCCAGGGCTTGTGCGCAGCTTCTCTTATACCGAACATGGCCGCCTTCGAGGCGGTGGCGAGCTCAGATCGCAAGGCGCGTGTCCGCCATATAGGCGGTGGCGAGCAGGGCTCGCAAACGGCGGTATTCCGCTGACACAGGCTCTCGAGGCTGTAAAAACGCCCAAGGAGGCTGCGCCCCAGAAAGGGGCGGTGCGGGCGGCGCTCACGCATCCTCCTCTCAGCACGGTCAGGGATGGGTGGGAAGGAGGAGTGGCGGCCCGCCACCCAGGCGGTGGCAACTTTGCCTCACGTTGCTCGATGCGCCACACTGGTTGCATCTGCGCGGCGGTTCGTGGGCGTAGTAGGGAGTCAGTTGAAACTCGCCCGGCGCAGAGCCACTGCTCTCAGCGGGGCGGCTGTTGTGTCCATCTTATTGAACGCCGATGTAATGGTAGTCGGCGGTGAAGCCGAAGACGCCGCAGGCGACGAGGTCGACAGCCTGCAGACCGCCCGAAGCATTGTCGGTCTCCACCAAGTTGGACTCCAGCAAAAAAGTGCTCGAGCCCAGTAACCTCGCCCGATGTGGGCGGCTACACTGGCTCTTGCGTCGCCAAGCTGGGGATGGGAGACGAAGCCGCCCCACTATGGGTCCCAACAACGAAATCTCCTCCGCCTGGACGTCGTCGGAAGCGTTGTTGATGTTTGCCCCCGGGTCCAAGACGGTGTCGGAGTTGTTGGCCTTTGCCGCCTGGTCAAGGCGATCGCCAACCACATCGCTCGCACCACCAGCTCCTCCAGGATGGCCGCCCTCGTCAGAAGACGATGGCGGTGTCAACATACCAACAATCGCCCGCCGCAGGCGCTTGAAATCGCGCTTGGACAGGTGCGACAGCGCCTCAGTGCAGGCGGTATCGCCCGCAGCGGCCAGGCAGCGCAGAGCAGCGACCGCAGAGGACGGAGCCGCCGCCATGATCACAGGTGGCGGTAACTGGAGGAACACAAAAAGGCGGTTTGAGCGATCAAGCTGCGATGCGCGCCCAATCGCTCCATGTTACAACGATTTACAACGCACCCAAGTGTGCTATCACGCAAGGTCGGGTGAAAGGCTCAGGTGGAGGGTTTCCATGGTATACAGAAGTTTTGGGCAAGGGTTGGAGATCGGGTGTCGTGTTTTGAGTTTAGGCTTGCAGGGTCTGAGGGTTGAGGATTGAGGGTTGGTTGAGCTTTCTTGAAGTTCTCGAGCTTCATTTTCTAGGGTGTAAGGTGTTAAGGTAGTTTCGCGGTATTATACTCTAGGCTGAAAGTGATATCATGATAAGGTCTGATGCTGGAGGGGTACTCGCAAGGACCTAAGTGATTAAGAAGTGCAAAAAACTTCTGGGAATTTCTGTTTACACTGTCTTGAAGCAGGTTGGTTTTTGACACAGCTGCCGAAGCTTGTTTTTTGCTCATCTCGTCTGGTTGCTATTGGGCTTGACACGCAGCTAAAAACCGAGGAGTCCAAACAAACCTCGTGTACTGACAGCGGGTACCGAGTAAGGCAAGCACCCAGCTGCCACAGCAGCAGATGCCTGTTTCTCCTTCGACACCTGGCAGGCACGTCTAACTGCCGTTCAAAGCTGCAAGCCCTTATTGGTACTTGGTATTAGGACCCGTGCAATTCCACGCTTTTGTCTTCAACCTAACAACATGTGCAATCGTGCCATGCCTTGGTGGCAGGAAAGCTGCGCCGAAGTAATGTCCACTTCGCGTTATTTCACATTCCACCGTTTTCAATCAGAGGCCTCATTCAGGGGTCGTATATCCTTAACTGCCCCCTGGCACAGGCGCACATTGCCACAGTGAAGCTGGACGAAACGATTTCTTTCCTACGAGGTCATCACACGAATGCGCCAACGGCAGCACCCTTGCATGCACGGGCAGTGCGCCGGGGTTGCCCTCTAGGTCTTAAGGGCTGAGGACTTATGACCAGAAACTGCCTTCATCTGCAAGCTGCGATTGCCAACAAGAACTGGGCGGACTTGTTATGGCTTATGAAGAGATGGCATAAAATGAAAATGGAAAGGATGAGGAATAAAATCAAAAAGAAAAGACAAGCGTCATCAAATAATCATAGTCATCACCAAGAATCGCACGTATGACCGAAGCACGTTTCTCTCCAATTTCTGCTGTTATGCATGCGTCCCCGAAGGCGGAAAGGAAATGGGTCAGAATAGTACGCGCAAAATCTCCTCAACCACCTGGTTGACATCTGCAGACATACTCCGCTTAGCTGGTAGGCTGGTCTCCTCTGGGACTGACGAAATTGCCCCGTTTGGGTATGAAGTTCTTGCCGCAAGGGATAGCTATCCTCGTGTGACTGCCAGCAGATTTTGCGCTGCTCTCTGGCTCGCGATTTCTACTTTCTGATTTGCGCTGGTTTCTGATTCGCAGTTCCTGATTCGTGCTAGTTTCTGATTCGGAGTCTCTGATTCGCTAGTTTTTGACTCGGAGTTGATGGTTCGCAATAGTTTCTGGTTGGCCTGATTTGCACCTAGTTTCTGACTCGTGGCTTCTGATTCGCGATGTGGCTTCTGATGCGGTCGCTGCCACAAACTTCATGCCTAATCTGTTGCCGAACGATTTGAGATCGGGCCTCCGGCCGGCCCCAGGTCACGTTCACGTTCTTGCCCTGACTGGTCAGCAGAGGAACAGCTGATGCCATACAGCTATGTATGACTCCTACAAATGGAACAATATCTCAGGTCAGCGCATTGATCTTGAGAATCTTGTGTGTGTTCTTGGCAGCTTGCTCGGCCACCTGTCAGAAGGTCCATTGCCAGCACAGGCGGCAATCCGTAGAGCCACTGATTGCCGAAACAAGCCTCTCGCTTCACGAAGGTGACAAACGCGCAGCTCTGCTTGGGTGCCATTCTGATGCTTCGAATCCTGTCCAGGCAAAAGCATGTGCAAACAAGTGAATCACGATTATGGTACGTGCGATTTTTAGCGATTTTGAACCGCTTAGAGTTGAGCTCTGGATCCAAATGTTAAGGTTCGGAGGCTTAGCAGTCCAATCTTTGGGGAATTGGGTATTTCTCTTTGTAACTGATCGTCGTCAACCATTGAGCAGTTGTTTGGGACTTGCATCAAGGGGTCTCTCGATTTCACGGGGCTGAGGCATTCACGCATTTGCGTTCCGCGTGCAAGGTCTGGACTTGCTTTGTACGAATGATTCCACTTTTTGAGAATGCAGGCTTGTTTTGTGTGCTGACGGTTTAGGGCCATAGGGTTGCACCTTGTTCATGTTGTTGTGGCATCAAGGCGTGCTCAGGGTCAAGACTCTGCTCAGGATTGAAGGTCTTGTCTGGGTACTGGGTCCAGCCTGAGAGATTAGGAGACCTGCGGTGTGCCTGTTGAAGGAGTCAAGGGCTCAGGGTTTCAGGTTTGTGTGCTCCGGGATGAAAGACACAGTACAATACAGTACAATCCAAAACGGCAACAGGAACGGCGATCAACGCAGAAAACAAGATAATATGGCAGAAGTTTGATCCTCTCCTCCGCATGCTGGTTATGTTGGAAGCTTAAGGCCCGCACTCTCCAAAAACGTAGAACTGATTGCGGATGTCCTGTTCATGCACCAACCGATCAGCAGCATGTCCTATGTTTATTGTCTGCCAAAGCAGTAACCGACTAGACAGGTATGAACTTGTAGAAATTCCTTCAGCTTGAGAATGCAGCAGCTCCAACAGCTTCCATATCTTTGCACATCCAGTTTTCAGAAAGAAAAAACAGATTCAGGCAGAAGACCGAGGAGGCTGTCGATGTCCAACGTGGATCAAACGAAGGGATTGAGCGAACAAAGACTCCACCCACTCCCGTCATCAGGGCTGTCTTGAATCTGTGACGCTCTACCCACCCCTGACCTTTTCTTTGGCTCCATGTGGCAGTCCACCAAGATAGAGCCTTGGGGCTCAACAAGCCGCAGGCAGGAGATGCATCCCAATCAAGCGGCTTCGTGAAGGTTGGGCAGATTAAGGCCTAGATTGGTTACTGGTCATGACCATGGCCTGTGTAAACTCAGCACGCTGCGTTGTCACCGCCTTGTCCTCCGGCGGCATCAAGGTAAGGTCCTGAGTCAGGATACTTTGAATATCATGCCACGCAGCACACGAAGAGAGAACGAGCAAGACTGCGGAAGAGCGGTGCAAAAGGATCAGCTTGTCTGCACTCCTCTTCAGCTCTACGGATGATCTTGTTCGCCAACGGGTCATTCTCCCCGTGGAACCGATCCCGCCTTTTCTAAGAGGCACTGACGAGAACATGAATTTAATCAACCAGGACACGGATAACTATCAAGTGACTAGTTTGTCCGCACTGTGGATACCGGAATTGACAGTTGTTGAAGAAGCGGTTTCATTCTGCTAGCACGTGCGTCACTCTTTCAGCCGGGATCTGCGCAGTTTCTGGTTTGCTAGGTCGCCACCCTTCGGAAGCTCATGCTTGAAGGGGCAATCCTGGCCTGCAGCAAAATCCGGGCAAGAAGTGGGGCATCATGCCACTTCGGTCAAAATGCATCTCTTCAGAATGTTGCAGCAGTCAAGCAGATGCTAGCAGATGAGCACGCCCCGACTGCTGCACTATGCAGCAGGCCTCGATTGCATGCACCCTTCACGTAGAAGGTACATATTCTCGCCTGCCATCATGAAGCAGCCCATGCCGATTGCCAGCCAAATCATCACCGCACGTCTCCTATAAATCCTCAAACGTCCTGACATGCACCTCATTCCGCTTGTAGTACGGCGTCATCCTTGCCAACCTTGCAAGGGTCATGCGCAACATTGGTCAGGCTACGGCTACTTGGAAGCCAGCTTCACCCCGCGTTCCGGCTATCACTTGTCTAAGGCCGCGCAACTACAACAAGACTCCAACATGAGACACACCTTTGGCAGCCAAGCCTGTGGGCAACTCTACAAGCATACAGGAACCAGGAACAGCTTCGAATAGAAAGATGAGGCCAGAGGAGGCCTCTAAACTGCTTTAAATTCCTTGGGTCGACACCTCTGTAGCATCGGGTGAGCTCCCACCTTGCCATACGGTAGATCCTGCGCTTCGCTTCGTCTCTCGACTACCGGCATCGAAATATCTTCTAGACATTGTCCTGCACTTTTGAAAACGAACCCGTCAGAAGAGGATCAAGCAGCTGGGACGTCTATCTATTGTATCCAAAGAGACAACAACCAATGCCTGAAAATTCTGATTGCTTTGGTCCTCGCCGTTCGGATCCTTCTGTGCATTCTGCAGCTGATAGTCCCGCCCTGCCATTCACAAAAGCAAATGGCGCTGACAAATCACTCATTTGGAGGTTCCAAGTTGCGTGCCCACGCGAGAGTGTGGCAACTCAACTTTGTTCGCACCAAGCTCCTGCCAGGTCCAACGGTGTCGACTCCATCGCTTTACAGATACACGCTTCACCTGCAGAACAAAAACAAAAGATTTACTTCGAGACCTGTGGCAAAAGCAACACTGCGACTCCTCCAGGTATTTGTCTCTGACTTGGACAGGGAGACCGTACTCGAGATCAAACAGGCAAGTCCTTTTCAACCGACAGGAGCAAGTTGCCAAGGATAGTTGCTGCTATGAAAAGCGGAAAGGAGCGAGACTTGTAAAGGGTCAGGTAATGCTTTCAATTGTTGGAATAAATCATCAAAATCCCAGCTTTGAAAAACAATGCACAAAAGCTATGCGTACCAACGCGGCAAAACGCAAAACGCTGGAAGTGAACCTGACTGGCTGGTGTTGTTCATGCATGTGGGGACCTGGTCCTATTGGTTCCGAGTACCAGGCTGGCACACATTCTTGACCTTCGCGCAACTTTGACCTCGCTGCAAAAGGAAACAAGTACAGGTTGCCCGTGCATTCGCAAAGTTCTAGCTGAACACACAATTGAACCAGCTTGACAAGACACCACTAGGTCGCTAGGTCCAGGGCAGATCACTGTGGCCTGTCACGCGATGGATACGAAATGCTCTCTTACATGTATCGCACCTTCCGCTGCCCAAAGCCATCATGCAGGTCCGAACAAGTCCAAACACCAGCCTTGTAGCGACCCTGTGTACCAGCTTTCCATCTAAAAATGGTGAAAGGCCTGACCTTAATCATGGTCCAGAATCAAATTGCACCTTGATGTGTTTTTCAGGCTTGTTGACCGCATGCTGAGATCCCAACGCAAATTTTGCATTCCACGCCATAGTCCTCCTTCTGCATTCGGACCTGTTCAGCATCTTGGTCACATGGAATTCACGTCTTCATTCAGCAGCCATTTTTTGATCTGAGTTACGCACATACGGATTGTCCCCCAGACATGTTTCACAGAGGATGGGAAACCTTGACAACAATCCCAACAAGTCAACACCCATGCAGCATTTGAACACTGCAGATTATGCGAACATTTTGCAATGATCGCAGAAATTCCGGAGCCGTCACTGGGCTTTCTCCCATCCCTCTTTGTTCACCTGCCAAAAAGAATGCTCTTAAGAAATGCAGACGCACTGACGGGAAAAACTTGCGCAGGATGCTACAACATCCCACCCTGTTGTCCGTGGGAAATGCACGCCCAGGTTGATGACAACATGATAGGATTTGGAACACAAATAAGATGCCTCCGAAGCTATCCGGAAACCTTTCTCTGTCATGACCTCAGATGCGCAGCGCCCACTAACATTTCGTCAGATCTGACATGCAAATATACGAAGCATGCCACCCTCACAATGCTCGCACTAAACGCGCTACATGTCCTTGCAATGGCCGTCAAAATTCCTGTACCGGGCCAACACTCAGCCGCGTACCTTCAGAGCTCCCGAACTCTGGGTTGCCCCCCCCCCCTGTGTTTGAGGCATGACACGAGCGAAACGTGTGTTTAGCGTACTCGTACTACATGAAAGTTGTAAAGTGGATGTTGACAGCAAACTTGGTTGAACAAATGTTTTTTCTGATGAACCTTTGCTGAACAATGGCAAGCTTGATTTTTTACACGCGCTACGTTGCAATGTCACACTTAAAACTTAAAATTGCAACACGCCAAAAATCATCATTTGCAGGCGTCTTCGCATGTTTCCTATAACTATGTGATTCCCCATGAACTTGAAGTAACCTTATTGATGTAAGCTTGTTACGTGAGTGAAGCCGTTGTGCTGTGCAGAAGAATTTTCATCCAGCCGCCCAACCCTGAAATGAATCCCATAAAGATATTAGGTGCAAACATAAGATCTGGGTTGAAACTCTGTGCAAGACCCAGCTTGCCGACATTACAGTGCCATATCGGTTATTTGGATCGGTCTCCAATGATCCTAATGCACATGTTACTGCTTGTCCTATTCGTTTCCAATCGGTTCTCATTTCGTTCCTCACGTCTGATGGCGCATGCTGCGGAGCTCGCCTTCTTTCAACTCCTACTGCCAGTGGGAAGCCAAATGAGCCCAGCGGGACAAGCGCCGCAGCCAGCGCCACGAAACCAACAGCAGTGGCAGCCTGTCAAAGGAGCCCGGACAAACGGCCAGAACCACCGCCACGTGCCCAGGCGGGGCAAGGGTCGCAAGGCGTCAACAACGACATCGTAGGACGACATGGACCAGGACAGAGACATCCGCAAGCTGATCGAGGCGACGGCAAAGCTGACGCTCAAGCTGGCGAACGCAAAGCAGCTGGACTGTCATGGTTCGTGAGTACGGAGCCCGGAGGGGTGCTGCCGATGACGTATGGTGTGAGCGCAGAGTGTCGCAAACTGCAGGAAACCAACCCCAGCCTGATCACTCGACCACTTCACGCCCTCATGATGGAGTGCATCCTGACGGAGCTGCAGGCGAGGATTCACAAAATTGCTCAAGACGAGAACGTGAAGACCGCCGCAATTCAGGCAGGTTAGTGCACGGAGGCCGGCCTGTGGCCATACAAAACCTGGGACCCCACCAAAAGGAGCTGGTGGCGTCATCACGCGAGCCGATGAGCACGGCCACTCTTGGGACCCTGATACAGAAAGCGTTGCGGGACATCAAGGAGCCAGGGGCGCTGCACAGGTTTTTAAGCGTCACAGCCATTGAAGGCCGACATAGAGATGCTGGCGGAACATCGCGAAGTTTGCTTCACGATACAGGTGGCACTGCGGGGGACGACAGCCGACAGCCTCCACAGCCAACTAGGCAAACTGTGCGACAACACGGTCCTCAGACTCATGCGCAGCCGGCTACGTCCAGAACGCAAGCGACGTCGTGGACTGGCAAAGCGCTTGGAAGGGCTCCTGAAAAATCAGTCATGAACTTAATCATGCTTGCTCAAAACATTCACTTTGCTGGAGTTCCGAGCCTCTTTTTACGCAGCTGTGCACGGAGGATTCACAAAGTCTCACGGCCGTGTGAAACTAAACGGGAATAGTCGAGGTGGCGGGGCGGTGGCGGCTGAGCACGAAAGCAACTCCAGCAGATCATTAATCTCAACAGCATGCGAAGACTTGCTTGATCAAAACATTCACGTTGCTGGAGTTCCGAGCCTCTTTTTACGCAGCTATGCACGGGGGATTCACAAAGTCTCACGGCCGTGTGAAGTTAAACTGGACAGTGGATACCCAACCATCAATTCGGGAGGGTGGGCGGGCCCTCGGAGACTTCATATCATCCAGCTGTGTATGAGGCTTGCACATGCTCCGCGAGCCGTGCGACCTGACTTATGAGGTCTGCTCGCACCACGACTTCTTTGCAGGCCGGTTCGCAAAGGTTAGCTAAGCAGAGGACCTTAGCTTTGGTCGCGGGACTTTGCTGGTCCACAACATTGAGGCACCCCAACTCTTGAATACAACGGGCCAACGTTTTGAAGTGCAACCAACGGCCTCTCCATTGGAGGCGGGGGAGATCCTCGTTCCACTCTCTAAACCAGCACGTGGCTCCTCCAGGCCTAAGGGAACTAGGCAAAACTAGCTTGGGGCGCTGCGTTACCGCCTAAGAACCTGTTGGAGTCTGGTTCGGAGCATTGTTGAGCCGAAAGCCCAAATCTTTTCTTGAGGATTCATGACCCTGAAACATTTCTTTAAAAAATCTACCGCGAAGGGCACATCCAATCTTACGTTCTGCATTTTGGCCCCCCGTGTTTGACTTTTGACCAGGTGCAGGCGGAGGAAGATTGCGTCGTATGCCAACAGACAATCGCTGACTTTCAAGGCAATGAGCTCGCAGGGTCGCAGTAAGGCGTAAAAGCCGATCAACAACATGATGGAAAGACGTATCCACTGCCACGCCGGCGCTGTCACAGCCACAGCCTTCAGCAGAGGTAGTGGAACTGCTTTCCCAAGTTGTTAGAAGCCTCCAAGGTCTGGCCAGAAGAGTCTTCCGACGCGGAAATTGTTGGATCACAATGTTGATGGTTTCGGCATAGTTGCGCCGAGGAGCACCCTGTTCGTACAGCACTCGTTCATATTCCTCCAGCTGAGTGGCCAACCGGATGGGGTCCCAGCTGGCAACCTCCGCCAGCGGATTCATCTCTGGATTTTCTGCAAGCATCCTGAAACTCTTCCAGAAGACGTTGTCTTTTGCCGCCGTGGGTTCCGTGACTCGCCCCTGATCCAGATCCGACCGGTTTCTCAGCAAGCCTGGGGCGCAAGCACGGGCCAAGGGCGCCCGTGGGTGGGGACCCTCACTTACAAGGGCAGTTCTCTTGCGAGTGCTCATTGGCCAATGCATTGCAAACAACCGTTCTTCATTACTGGGGGAAACTTCTTGATGGGGAGAGAAGGGGTCTGGGCAGTTGCGGGAGCGGCCACAGTTTGCAGGGCTTCTTCGCGGTACCCTGCAGAACTGCATATTTTGGACGCGTTACGGGCCCGATGTTGGGGCCAGCCCGGAGAGCCGTCCTTATTGCCGCCTTTCGCTGACTGCTTGCTTCTTGCCACCTTTGCTCCCACCCTGGACCCCTGCTTAATGAACTGGGTGTCCAAACCCACTGCCGCCCTTGCCTTTGCCTTTTCCCCGACCAGGGGGCGGCGCGCCCTTATCTGGATGACGCACACGCTCATAGACCTCTCGCC